TCGATCGCCCCATGTTTTACGTCATGATTCTTAGCGTTCACGTCCACTCCTGCAATCTCGAGCGCCTTTGTATTCACCACTGCGATGTGCCAGCACGCGCGATGTAGAATTACGGGTCGGTCCCTGATCACGGCGTCAATGTCGTGTCGACTTGGGTATCGAGCGTCGCTGGAGAGCTCGTCTTGGGCCCAGCCGATGCCCACGACCCAGGCCTTGTCCGGGTATTGGGCGTCATATTTCTTAAGGCGCTCTGCGAACTCCTCGTAGGACGTACAACCCGAAAGATCGAGCCACTCGGCGCTCTCCCCCAACATCGCGACGTGAATGTGCGAGTCGTGCAGTCCAGGGAGCACCAACGCACCATGGAGATCCTCTGTCTCGTCGGCGGGAGGGGAAGCACCAGAGCCCACGGAGACGATGAGGCCCTCTAACAACGTAGTCATCTCGAAGCACGACACGACCAATCTGCTCGGAGATAACTATTTCCATGTTGGTCATCAAAAACGTCACTCCTTCGTAAACTTGCAGAAGTGAAGTGGCATCAAGAAAGTGAATTCAAACGAAGCGGGCACAGCAAAGACCACCTTGGGTCGTTCTCGAATCGGACCTCGGAGACATGAGAAGTCAATGGAATAACACGGCGCGATCGTGGCATGACAAAACCGTATCTGCTGTGTTGCATGGACTTTCGCATCGCTAGGAGAGTGTTACGACGTTGGCTCCGGCAACACTCTAAAATCCGCCTGCTGCACTTAAATGTAAACAAGTATAGCGTGTTCGTTCTGCTTGTAGCTTACCATCCTTGTCCTTGATAACGGAAGCAAGGACTAAAGGTAAGATGTAAGAGTCGCACGTGCGGTCGTCTTCAGAGCAATCTTGGTTGACTACTTCTACAACCTTTACTCGGTACTCATTATTTTGACCCGAACGCGGTTTCCCATTCCTCGAATCGACGTAGTTGATCATGCCCCACGGACTTGGACACATTGCTTAGAGCTTCCACAAAATCTGCCTATACGCACACCACACGAACGACAATTAAACAGTACATCAGTATCAAAAATATGCCGCATCTGTACCTTTGTGACTACGAGGCGTTCTGTGTCAAGTTCGCGAAAATCCTCGCCCGCTTCCATTTCTCGACGCATCCTGAGAAGCAGTTCAGGAGTATACACGCGTTTAACTGGCATGCGTTTGGCTAGATAAAACATCAAACGTTGATCATACTGGTACAGTTGTGCGTGATTTCGCAACATGCGCACCTGTTTCGCAGACGTTGGTGATGTCGTCTCCACTGTAGCCCTGCACAAAATCAACACGCTATTCTAAGTAGGTATATAAAAACGAGCATGAACGTAGCCGCACACATACCGCCGTTTCCTCAACAAGATCGTCCAGCTTGACATCCGGACCTAAATCAATTCGCCCCAGGTTAAACTCAAAAAGTGCTCGGCGAGCTGCGGCCTCGGGTAATGGGATATACACCCGCTTCGTTAGTCGCCGGCGCATAGCTTCATCTAACTCCCAAGGGAGATTAGTAGCTGCAAGAAGCATCACTTGACTGCCGTCGTGCTCCCCAGTTGTTACGCCATTAATCTGAACCAATAGCTCCGTTTTCACCCTGACCACAAAAAAGTTCATTAGAAGGCAGCCAAAACGATTAATAAATAAGCATTGCAACCTTCGACTCGCTTCGTGTTCTGTAGCAGCACCTCTAGTCGACGCAATGGCGTCGATCTCGTCCATGAAAATGATGGACGGTTCGTAATAACGAGCCATATCAAACAAGATTCGAACCATCTTTTCCGAGTCACCTCGATACTTCGACGAGAGTGTTGAGGCCGATACATTAAAAAAGGTTGCGCCACATTCATGTGCGACGGCCTATACACGAACAAACACTGTTATGCTAACATAAACCCATGGATTAAGTCACAAACAGTCTCGTACCTTGGCAAGAAGCGTTTTCCCTGTTCCCGGAGGCCCAAACATCAGTACACCATTACATGGTTTCAAAAGTCCGTCCTAAAAGCAGGTAATAACTTCAGAACACGATCTCATCGACCTGATATAGTATCACACGAACCGTAAATAAGTGTGGTGCAATTTGTGGAAGCATCACAGTCTCCTGCAGCAGCTGCTTGGTATGTTCAAGTCCAGCGATCTGTTCAAACGTGACTTTCTCTCCATGGTCCACAATATCCCGCTCAATCGCTTCAATAAGCTCTTGATCCACCCAGTCATTCTCCATGGCCAGCTCTGAGTATTTAACTTTACCCGCAATCGTCTCTTGATTCGACTCCATATTGGTTGAACTCGCTGTGCTTTGAACACTCTCACGTCGCTTAGACTTCAACGAGTTTCGTCCTGTCTTCCGCTGCTTTGTTTCTGAAGCTGAAGCTGACGTTCCACTCCGTTTTACTGCGTTTCGACTCCTATTCTCTGCTTCATACGCCCCTAAAGACTTTCTCGTCCGAGACGTATGTCCCCCTGTAATTTTACGTTGCTGCACCAACTGTCGAGCTCTTTGCAACGATAAAACGTTAAAACAAAGTAAAAACAGATGAAACGTCTCAAATTTACCCACCTCGTCACCGTCGTAGCTCGTGGCTCTCGTCGATGCATCCATAGCGGCGCTTGCCTCTCTCTTGTTGGCTGTACACTAGGTCGACGCGCAGGTTGCGGCTTTTCCCATTGCTTCCTAGCCACAGTTTCCTCGGCGATGGTCTCTTCCTCCTGCTTTTGTCTTGCTCTTCGCTCTTTTATTGCTTTACTGCGTCGCTGTGTGTCCTGCACCTTGTTGGCAGCGAGCTTGAGGCTTTGTAACGTGCTGCGGTACTCAAGGATGGCGCGGTATTCGCCCTGCAGGTCCCGCAAGAACTCTCGTGCCTCTACGTCTGCGCCCAGCTGCGTCTCCAGCGTCTGCCGCACAGCGCGGAACTCGGCGATACCCCGTTCATAGTCTCCTAGCAGACACAGCTCTCGAGCACGCAATAGCGCGTACTGCGCACTCCTGGCGGCAGTGACCTTCATTCCTGTTTTGAGCAGGTTCAATATGTTTTGGCGCGACTGATTATGATTGGACGAAAATGAAATTTCATTTTGTGTACACAACACCACGCTGCCTTATGCCGACACGTAGCGCAGTCACTCGCCAACTCTCAACGTTGTACACTTTGCCCTCCGCTTGGAGAGAGACATACAGACACTTAGATAATAGCGGACAGGATGCTGACGGACCTCCAGATCGTGGCTATCGCAGTGACGGGCGTGACGCTGGTGCTGCTGATCATGGCAGCGCGCGTGCTGCTGCCGAAGAAGACGGACGAGGTGGACGAGTCGTTGCAGGCCATGATCAATGGCTTCGACTTTGCGCTACCTGAGGAGGTGGAACAGTACCGTAAGGGCAAGGAGGAGCACCCAGAGGATACGGACAAGTGCTTCCAGCTGCTATTCCGTCGCGCTGTGGCCGACATCCCGCTTATCCGCAAGATCCAGTCGGAGAGTTCGGGCATCCAGCGACTCAAGAAGAACGATATCCTCAAGGACGGCTCCTTCCTCAGCTATAAACTGGCTGAGGAGATGATTAATGAGGAGATTAACGACGTGCGTAGAGAAGCAGAGGAGCTCAAGCCCGGTACGCTGTTATTATTCCATCATTGTGATTTTAAATCTGTTATTTATCTGTTTGCTATTGCTATTCGATGTAGGTGAGGGCTGGCCCGACAAAATCTTCCCCCAGGCCGTGCAGTTTATGAACCAGATCGCCGAGCAGCAAATGGCAGCACAGCGTAAAGCGGCAGAGGCACAGATGAAGGCCATGCAGGCGGCTCGCGCTAAGGCGATGGCACAAGCGGAGGCTGCTGAGACTGCCGTTAAGAACATTGAGGCACAGGTAGCGGCTAAGGAGAGTGAAGAGGAGACACTGCGGAAGAGAAAGTAGACGACTGAGGACGCTACTGCAGCCTCTGCCTTCACCCGTAAATGCCTCTTTTGGACCTCCCACTGCTTCGGCATTTTGTGAGATAGACAGTTTCGTTTGATCAAATTTTGTGTCGTTACTATTTTTAGTACGTTTCTTCACGTTTGGTCGCCATGGACGCTGCAGCTTGTAGAGCATGGTCGACACTCGCAATATGCGCCAGTGTAGCTGCTTGAAGCTCTCGTACTGCAGCTAGCGACAGCGCCAACGATGGGTCTGCGTGCACTTCCTTCTCCTTGGTAGCAGGTTTCACCTTGTAGTGTACCTCGAGGTCGTTGTTCATCCCGCAGCGCACACTAATGCGCTGTAGCTCTCGCGCGACAATCTCTTGAGCTTCTTGTCGTTTCTCATGACGTTGCATACGTTCTTCTGGAGATGCAAATGCCCAGTCGCCGAACTCTAGAGCTTGGTAGATATAGGTGCGATGTCGTAGTGGCGCTGACGTTAACGTGGTTTGTCCTGTACTGCCGTCGGGAAAGAAAAACGAACAACTCTCGCCGTCGCGTTCCACTTGAAGGATGGTGCGATCAGCGAATGCAGCGCGAATACGACCGCCACGATACGCACGGAAGCGGCCTTGCTCGTTTTCCACCTCTTCCAGTAACTCAAGGTCATCAGTTTGCGATAGTGACGGAGGGTGTTGACTTACGTGATGTGAAGTGTACTTGAAAGCTTGAAGGATGTAGTCAATATGTTGGCATAATGCGGTCACAGAGCTGCTAGAATTTTTCGTTTTGAGGGTGGTAGGAGGTGGAATTGTTTCACGTGTGAATCGATGTTCAAGTCTTCCTGTCTCGTCATACCAAGTGAAAAAGCCATCACATCCGGTTAGCAACGAGCCTTCATTACCCAATTGCACCTAACAAAAAAAAGGTGATTAACAAATGTACCAAACTGACAAGTTGAGAGTAACGTACCACAATATCCGGTAGCTGGCCAGGTGCTCTGCGCGATACGAACATCATCGTATCATCACCTACCACCTCCACCACAATACGCCGGTACAACAACTTTGAAGGTAAGGTAGCCACCCGCAGGATCTCCGCCAATGATAAACAATTCTCTTCATCTCCATCCACTTCAACGCCATCACTACTCGTAGCAATGACCGAGAACGCCGGACGTGCAGCGAACGCGGCATTCCTCGGCAACTGTGATATCGCAGAGCTCTCATCGTCCGTTCCATCATACTCAATCTCTGCTTCTCGATTTATATCCCACGCAGCTTTCGCAGCCAATAGAATCTTCACTGGAAACGTGAACTCTTTAGGTGTTTGACCCACCGCACAGGACCAGTGTAGTGTTGCATAGTGCGCGTGGCTGCTCCCCTCCACGACCTCGTCTGAGACCTTCACTTCCACCACATAGTAGATCTCCACGAACTTCCCACTGGCATGTAGTCGTACTTTAGCTGCGCCCTCTATCGACTGCATCTCAAAGCATTCGGCTTGGTCATTGAACAGTCTTGAGACCTTCGTCTTCCTCTCTAGACGCGGCCACCTCGCTCGCAGCGACTGGATTCGACGCTGATGTCTCACTTCCTTCGGGTTTATCAGTCGTAGATGCACATACGGTGCGTGGCTCGTGAGTCTGTTGCGCAGATTAAGAGTGTCTAGCACCAAAGGCCGATGACTCGAGAGTGTGGTGGGCGTCAAGTGCCGAGTACGTGTCCCATCTGGCTGTATGTACGAGTACGTGTGACCTGAGGGCTCGAGCACGACTGTGTGCGTCTCGTGTGAGTTGCGCTGGTAGCTGCCGATGGCGGAGCCGTCCGCCAGCACCACACAGCGGCGCAATTTGAAGTCTTTCATTTTCAAGTGAGACGAAAAGCGCTTTCTAATAAAAGTGGGTGGTATTTAAAGAAAGTGCTTTTATTTTAGAAAAGTTAAATTTGATTAAATGTGCATTTATTGAAGAAAAAAAACTTTTTAATTTTTTTTCGAAAAACCCATTCCGCGTATTCTCTGAAATTTATTTCAGTTTCAGAGTTAAGAAAGGATCCGATTCGAGGTATTATTCTGTCAGCTATTAAAGTCCTGTCTAAAGCGATGCCGATTAGAAATATAGGCATAAATACTATAAGTAATATAAACCTCTGATCTTTGACGTTGATGTGAAACTGATAAATATTTGCTGAATGTTACCTGTGTTGTCCGGACCGAGTACTAATAATATTACGCAAGGTTGCAAGAAGGTGACCGGCTCATAAGCTTCATTGATAGAAATATAAATATAAAACCTACTCTACTCCCGCATCGGTGCATGTAACAGCCTCTTCACTATGATACATTCAACTTGACTGCCGCTGCGTCAGTGGCTAGGAAAGGGTGATAAAAGCAACTAGCAGATGCTGCGGCTGCGAAGCAGGCGCAGGAGATGCGTCGTCAGGTATCCTCCGTAGGTTTGCTAAATTTCAGAGCTTCATCGGGCAAAGCACGACTTTGTATTCTACCGAACAAATGGAAATTTTGCAAATATAGCGCGGTCATATCTTCTCAACAATAGTTGTTAACGCGTCAGGATACTAAAGTGTACAACCAAGAGGGATGAAATTTAGTGGTATATAATCAAGAGGTATGAAAATTTAACGGTACTCATCGTGACTTTGTATCGAACAGAAGTTCCGGTATTTATTTTGGTACTTAAAATAATAATGCAAAATCCAAATCTCAAAATTAAACTAAGTCCTATAATTTTAATAAGGTTTTGGAGTATGTTAATTAGCTTCAAGGAACCTTACTCGTGATAAGCAAACGAGATGAAGACGTTCATGAATGGGAAAATCTGGCAGTGGGCAAACGCCACTAGCTCCGTCGCGGGGACGTTCGCACAGTGGATGACGGTGTCGGACGATGGCCTCGTTGTCTCCGTGGGCTCTGGTGCTCCCCCTCCGGCCGACGAGACAGAGGATCTCCATGGTGCGTTGGTGTTGCCTGGACTGCACGACTCGCACATTCACGTCGCGATGCTGGGGGAGAGCGCCGAGTGGCTCGATCTTTCGGGTTGTACGTCCTACGAGGAGTTCGCAGAGCGCCTTAAGAAATACGACGCCCAATACCCGGACAAGGCCTGGGTCGTGGGCATCGGCTGGGCTCAAGACGAGCTCTCCAGCGACGCTCGATACCCAAGTCGACACGACATTGACGCCGTGATCAGGGACCGACCCGTAATTCTACATCGCGCGTGTTGGCACATCGCAGTGGTGAATACAAAGGCGCTCGAGATTGCAGGAGTGGACGTGAACGCTAAGAATCATGACGTAAAACATGGGGCGATCGATGTGGACGAGAAGGGAGCGACGGGCATATTGAGAGAAGATGTGAGTGAAAATTTGCAGTTGATTGGGGTGGGAGCTGATAATATTTGTGGTAATTGAGAGCAGGCGGTGCAGATAGTGGAGAAGCACGCGAATGAGCCATCGCTGGGTACGGTATATTAGATTTATTGTGGATTAATACGTATATGTTTATTATTTCGTAATGGTGATGCAGATCTGCGTGTGAAGTATTTCAGGAACGCGTTGACGAGATGTGTGCATTCGGGACTGACTGCAGTGCACACGAACGACGAGGATGCGTGGCATGTGTATAGCAAGCTCCAAAAGGAGGAAAGTCTGCCAGTTCGTGTGTACCTGACACCATCGATTTATGAGCTGGGTAAACCCTCGACACCGAAGCCTGGGGCAAGCGATGGACTTGTGTCGGTCCACCGCATGAAGATTTTCAGCGACGGGAGTCTTGGAGCGGTACGACAAATGAGCTGTATACTTAATAGTTGTGTACGGATAGAACTTCTCTATCATACTTGTAGAAACATCCGCTGAAACTACTATCTTGTCCAGGAAACAGCGGCTCTGCGTGCTCCGTACAAAGGCACGTCTAACAAGGGAATACTCATGAACTCCGATGAGGATCTCGTCAAGAAAATTAGCGATGCGAACGAGGCAGGCTATCGTGTCGAAATCCACGCCATCGGTACGTCCGCTACCAATCGGTAGCAACTTGCATTGCAGCTTACATGTGTGTGAGGATGCCAGGTGACCGTGCGGCGGAGCAAGTTCTAATGGCTCTCAAGTCGGCCAACGTGGGTCCGGAGAAACGGCCAATTCTCACGCACTGTCAGATTCTTGGTGAAGATCTGATTGCCCAGATGCGAGAGCAAGGTGTCATTGGCAACGTCCAACCCTCATTCACGGTGACTGACGCTCTCTACGTCCGCAAGCGGTTGCAAGACGATGTCATCCCGTTTTTCGTACTGCTGGAAGCGTATGCTGGACAATGGTGTCACCTGTGCTGGAGGAAGCGATGCTCCCATCGAGACTTGCAATCCTTTCCAAGGTATTTATGACGCTATCTACCGCCACAAACCCAATCGACCCGAGGATGTATTCTTACCGGAGGAGCAGCTATCGTTCCATGAAGCTCTTGCACTGTACACGAAAGTTGGTGCTTTTGCAGCGATGCAAGACAATGTTCTTGGCCAGATCTCACCAGGTTTCTATGCCGATTTCGTGGTTCTTCGCAAGGATGTGAGTGAAGATCATGCGGCACTTGTGATGCCTGACCTTGTGGAGGGTGTTTGGGTGGCTGGCAAAAAGACGTACCAGTATGACCCAACATCGATTGTGTTGGAAGGTGGTGAGCATGACCTCAGCAAGAGCCTCTTGCCAGGCAAGAATGGCCCTTCGCGTGTATGCCGATGCTGTAGGAGATAGACCGGTAAAATTCAGAGACCAACCGGACCCTTCGTAGACATGAGTTGGATATCGTCTTGAATTGTGCGCTAGCGTCGACATAGAATTTATTTGTATGCCTTGAATGATGGAGCTCGCGTCGCGTAATAGCCAAAGCGAATCGCGCGGGGTACCTTCGAAGCTGGATTGGCCAGTATTTGCGAAGGCAAGTCCAGCAATGAGATCCGCTTTGAGCCTCGCATTGCACAGGCCAGTTGAGAGAACCATTATTTTAAAAGAGGTTCGAACATTTCTAACACCTTTAGGATTCGTGTCGAAAAATTTGTGTAGGATTTATTAGTAATACTGTGTTCATTGCATGGAACTGACTTACGAGACTTTGAAAAGCGTATCTCTTACACCTATTATCAACATGTGCTAAAGGCTAGGCTTCATTAAGATATCTTCAAGATTTTTATATTGTATAAGAAAGCCACGGTAACGGCTCGTCGAATCTGTGCGCAGATGCAGCGGCTGCGAAGCAGACGCAGGAGAAACGTTACTAATTACCAGCGCCACTCTTGCGGGTGAACACAAAATATCTTTGCAAGAAGAATATTCAGCCTTCGTGTAGCCCTATATTGTTGGAGTAACTTTCGCTGGAGAGGCAAAGTGAAATTCTTAAAATTATAAGTTTTTAAGAAACAAAATAAAAAGTTGATGTACCACGCATCGCTTCTTCAGACAACGTTGTGAAAACCGCCAGTCACAAAATTTACAAACATGAGTGTGTTCGTTTAGCCAAAGTTGGTGGACAAAATATGCGACATGACTTGAAGTAACCAATAGGCTGTTCAGCCAGCTAAAGCTGTCCTCCCAGTATAATATTACGTACTGGGACTGTAACGTAAATTTCCTAATAAAGTACCCTCTCCGTATAGCATACCCTTCCGAATACTCTTGTATCGTCGAAAATCCCCTGTTCCATTTATAAAAACCAAGTCATGTGCTTTTCTGTTACAAAGCTCCCCGATTAACATATCCCGACACATTTTAGGATATACTAGCACTATATCTATACTCTGGAGTCATTCTTTCACTTACAAAAGCAAACGACGTCGGCAGCGACAGAGCAAATTACGCGAAGAGCGCG